TCCTTCAAATTTAGGGGGTTTTGTCTAGCAAGGCGCACAAGGTTGCATGCTGATATAAAAGCACCATTGACGCCGTGTTGAACAAGGCTGTGATTCACAAACTGATAATTACTTGCGTCCGTACCTTCAACGCCCCCTCCCCCTCCCCCTTTCACCTCCTGCCTCTCACTCAACAAGACGGAGGGCAGAGGGAGTATACAAACTCCTGTAAGTGAATAGATATACTTTTCAACCCCTTCGCCAAAAACTCCCAAACCCAGCCAAAAAACAAAAACCCCCCCAAAAAACGCCGCATCCAAATGCTCAATGCTGGTGGTATGATGACAATGCTAACGGTCTCTTTTTCTTTTTCTTTTTTTCTTTCTTTTTTCTTTGGGAAAAATACAAAAAAAAAAAAAAGAAAAGAAAAAAAAAGAAAAAAAGACGCAAACAATATAAAAACGCCCCATCAACATCTATAAAGTCTCCACACTCTGATTCCCTCCCCCCCTTCTCCCTTCCCCCGCTGACGTCCTCGCCCTAGCCAACACCCCCCCATCTTCCTCACCTTGTGACACCACACCCCTCGACACCCCCGCTGCTGCCGACGAAACTCCCAACAGTTCCCCCAGCGTGTGGCTCAGACTCCGAGCTCTCCTCCTAATAAATCCCGTTTCGTTTGGGCGATGCTCCGTTGCGCTGACAGCTTGTTGCTGTTGCTGTTCAGCATCAAAAACTTCCTCCGATGGCGCAAAGAGGCTGTTTCGTAGGGACGGCCGGTTCCGTTTGTGGTTATGATGGGTGGGTAGCAAGTGAGTGGGTGATCCCTCCAAGTGAGACAGCAGCTTGTCGGTGACAACTGCCGTAAGGGTTGTCGAGAAGGGGCTAGGGGAAATAACTGGGTTGCCGCCGGCTGTTACACCCACTGTTGTGAATATCCTCGGATGATGGGGATGGCTTCTCGGTGTTGTCGGAGGGATGGTAGATATTGGCGGGGGGGTCGTGCCCAGGTTCATAAAGGGGGCGTGGTCAGTATCGGACACTGCTGCCGAGGGGATTACAGAGGGGATGGAATCTGATGAAATGGTATGGATCCCCATTCCGGGGTGGTTAAAATGGGAATGAGTAGGTGGGGTGCTATCCCTCCAGGGACCTAACAAAGGTGCGTCTTCGTGGTCCTCGTCATAGTCATCCTCGTTGATTAAGGATGGCTTTTGTTTGGAGAGCGCAGTTAAAGGTTTGTTTGTGAAGCTCACACGGGAGGACCGTCTAGATCGTCCTACTGCCGAGTCGCTACCTCTGCGGGAGGATGTCCGGGCGAGAGCAGCAGTGCCGGTCGGGTCTTGGTTTGAGAGACCAATGGTTTCTTCTATGCCTTCGGCGTCGGAGAGGGTGGCTTCGTCCTCGTCGTCATGGCGGGGCCGGCCGCTGGTAATGAGGAAGACGCCAAAGAAGGTGAGGAGACAGCCGCCGATGAATTTGGCGGCGCGCTCTTTTGTCGTGCGCTCAAAGTCACGGTAGAGGACGGCGCTGCCAATGATGACGGAGAGGGTGAATAGTACGAATTGGATCGGGATGACTTGGGTCGAGTCAAACCGTTGAAGGGCCTTGTTCAGAAACCGCACCTGCATGATAGCGGTAGAGAGTAGCACAAAGAGGAGGACATAGGTGACTGGGGTTGTGAAGGCGCCGAGGAGGGTGGATGAGAGCATTGAGGAAACGCCCTTGGTTGAAAGCGCTGTGTAACCTCCAAACAAGCCAACCAGCCCCAGGTCAATCAGAATGGTCCGGTTTCCGTATCGGGGACTTAGATACATCAGCAGCGCGATAAGACTGCAGCTGACGCCCATGTAAATCTTGAACTCCATCGTGGTGATGGCATCCCAGACCTCGTGTGGCCCCATCTTGGTCTCCTCCGAATCTGCGCTCAAGACAACCGTCACAGCGCCTGCGATGGCAATAACGACGCCCCAAAAGTCGCGTTGGCGGAATATCTCCTTAAAAAAGATGGGTGCTATCACACAATTCGAGACAAGAGCAACCACACCGAGCGGGCTGACAATGGACGCCGGCGCAAAGCCGTAGGCCAGAAAGTTGCCCATCTCACCCACGGTGATGAGAACCTGCCCCAACCACCAGTACGGGTCTTTGAGGTATGTCGAGGGAACCTTGGATTCGTCATTGTCGGAGCTTCCGCTCCAGCGAGAGTCGTCGGACCGGAATGAATGTGTCAGGGGGTCTGTTTCGGTAGAATCGCGAGCTTCCTCGCTGATCTCGCTCAGCCCACCGTTCGAGTGGGATGTCTCGGCCGCACCATAACCCCCCACACCAGAGCTTTGCGATGCAGAACTGGCATTCTTCAACGCCTGCCTCGCTCGTTCCCGCATGGCCACCTTGTGCCTGTGTAACCGAATGTGCGCATATCGCTGGACATTGAGAGCCAGAGCGATCAGGACGTTGCCGCAGATGGCGGTTATTATGCCGATAAGGCTCGACCAGTTCTGGAGGTCCTTGTCCGAGTGGTCCCCATCGCCATGCCCACCGTCGCCATCGTTGGAAAAGGAGGGCAGCCAGCTGGGCCAGGCGCGGCCTGCTAATGACGGATTCGAAGTTGCGTGGAGATACATCGTGTCGTCGTCGTCCCCGGGCAAACTGAAGCGCACCGGTGTCGCTCGTTGAAATGGTTGGTCATGGACATGGGCGACAGGTGCTTTTGGGAAGTGAGTCGGGGGGTCGATGGGTCGGTCAGTCGGTCGGCCGGTCGGTCGGTCTAGTTGTCGGGTTCCGAGTAGTGAGTACTGCTGCGTAGTTTATTTCGTTGTAATTTCTCACTAGCTATGGGTCGTTGGTTTCGTGCCGCGATGCGAAGTGGCGCCGGCGCACATCAAAGAGCCATCGAACATGGGGGAGAAGTGGACCAGTGGATCAGCCATCTGCCTGCCGTCTGCCGTGCGCCATGTCATTCTATCCCAGTCCATCTGGGAAGGCCTCTGATTGGCTAGTTAATCAAGACAGAGAGACATATCAACATCAAACACCAACAACCCAACACATACAAAAAGAATCATCAGGACACTCAGCAAATCCAATCCCCACCTCACGTCGGAAAGCCTTGCAGATGTCGGAGGTCAGCGGGGTGTACCACAACGCCATTGAGCCCTATCATCCCGCCCGCGATATTCCCCAGGCATGCCGACATCATTGTTCATTGGTCCGAGACAGGTCCCGATGGAAAGCCGGCTCTTCCAAAAAAAAAATTGTCGAGTTGGAGGGCATTGATACCGATGTCCCCAGCCCCATGCCTCTCAATAGAGTACCGAAACTCATCTCCACCTTTGTTCACGCAGGTGTGTATTCCCCTGTTAGTCTCGCCAACGAGCTAGGCTGGGAACCAACCCCCTCGTGGCTACACACCACCAAAGTCTTTCGCAGTCGCCGGTACTAGTCCATTCGATGCCGCCCATCCTCCCGGCATTGCAGACCACAAGCCAATCTTTGGCTGGCTCGACGCCTTTGAGGACCTCAGGTGTCAGATCTAAACCAGAAGCACGCCCGTGTCCAAAATGTGTGGCGTCTTTTTGGGCTGGGGTCCCCAATACCGGCAGATTATCCCAGGCTTCGCCATGTGTGAAACATGAATTTCCAATGAACATGTGGGTGAACAATTCATGGTGTCTTTGGTTCCCTTCACTTATACGCGAAGGGAAGATCACAGCAGCCACACTCAAAGAATGGATCAAGGCTCGGAAACGGGACGGGCAAAGGAAAGCGCCCATGAGACCCCTAGATGAGCTGAAAAAGCAGCATCAGCTGCTCAATACATTGTTCAGCATGGACCTGGAAAAGATAGCGGTAGTTTATAAACAGCGAGGTGCGAGGGACCCAGTCGAGACAGTCGTGCCGTGGATAAGGACAGCTCGGCTTTTTTCAAAGCGGCGGCGCCTCGCCCTTTCATTGTTGAATTACATGCTCGGAAGTCTTGACTGTGAAGATAAAGGGGAATCCCAAGAGTAAGCGAAGGCACCAAAGCACGTTCTCAAATCTACCTTCAACCCAACAGGAATGAAACGACCAATTTCGACCGATTAATGACAAAAGACCTTCACTTGAGGCCATATTCGGCCTCATACACATGTACGCAAAACACCCTTTGGGGTGCTTCCACGGCATGCGACTCTTGGTGGACTAGGGTCGTATTCTCTAATACGAGAGACAAGAAAGAGGTCGAGATGGTGAGGTCACGTACGGTGAAATGCACATTTGGAATCTCCTGGAAGCTGTCCCTCGCCGATTCTCCGTCACGGTGAAGGACAAGAAGAACCCTCACATGCCTGCTTTCCACTACATTTGCGAACACATTAGCACCAAGAAGAACACACTGGGGGAAGGCAACGTACAATGGCGCTTTCTGGTATTTAGCAAAGGATTTCTTACCACTATTTTTCTCTACAGACGGCAGCAGGCACATTTTGATCATTTGCTTTAGGGAACGCAGGGCGAAACAAGAGTTGTCCTGTTGGCAGTTGAGACAAAAGCTGGGGCATGAGCGTGGAGGGTAGGAAAGGGGACCAACCCTGGGAATATCACAGCGTGCATGTTTTTGCTTTGCTTTTTCTCTCATCTCTTCTCATTTCACCAAACAGAACAACCAACCCGAAATACAAAAGAACACAGAGCAACAGGATATACTATCATGGTATACACCTACACAGAAGTACAGTAAGTATGAGATGGCCAAAACAAACAGCAAGAGAAATCAGGAAAGTCCAGCGTGTTGTTGGATAAAACGCTCTTCTTCTGACTTGATATTCTTCTGCCACACAACGCAACACAACCAGCCACCACTCCTACAGCACATGGAACACCCTGAACAAAAAAAACACTTCCCCGGCCCCTTCGCACACCTCTTTATCCTCCCAAAGCTACTAACACCAGCAAGATAACAAAAATACAAAAAAAAAAAAAAAAAAGGAAATATAAAAAAAGAAGGGAAAAAAAAGAAAGAAAAAAAAGAAAACTTGAGGTCCTACCCGGACTCGAACCGGGGTTGCCGGAAGAATTTCTCTTACGTACTTTTTTCCCTTGGGTGTTACAAGGATGGCACGAGAGAGATTTAATTCAGAATCCGGAGTGATAACCGCTACACTATAGAACCGTTGCGATTACTTGAATACATATGCTGATGTCTTACAATAGCCATATATTGACGCGACGCCATCCACCAAATAGTGGCGGCGTGGGACGAAAGACAACAACACCACAACCTAGCACAAGGACACACAAATATAACAGGCAGATAGCAAATCGAGGCTCGACTTGAATGTTCTGACACTGGCAATAAACGTCTCGAACATATATTCCATGCAATGTCGAGGACGACTTGCCGAGCCCAGTAGTAAACACGCCGAATAGGGGTATCAATCACTTCACCGTCTCCGTTCTCTCTCTGTGCAAACATAAACCCTCCTAAAAACCAGCAAAAATATCATCAAACTCATCTCGCCCTTTCTTTTTCATTTTCTTTCCCACTCCAACCGTAGCCGACTTCTTCTTTGGCCGACCATCGCCCAGCCCACCAAAAATATCATCAAATTCATCCCCTCCTCCCACCTTGTTCATTTTCTTTTTCGGCTTGTCATCGCTCAGACCACCGAAAATATCATCAAACTCATCCCCTGCCGCCTTCTTCTTCTTCTTGTTCTTTTGCGTTTTGGGCTTCCCTTCCCCTAGACCACAAAAAATATCATCAAACTCATCCCCTCCTTGTTTCTTCTTCTTGCTGCCAGCTGGTTTTTGTGGCCGCGGCTCGTCACCGCTGTCATTATCGCTGCTCTTAACCTCATCCGATAGCACATCCATCTTTTTGACCGCTCTTTTCTTAAACGACTTTTTGTTCTCAACGGGGCCAAATACGTCGTCAAAACCATCTGCCCCCGTAATAAATTTCTTCTTCCTTTTCGGCAGCTGCTCCCCCTCGTCACTCAGCACCACCTCCGCCGTAACCCTCTTCGCCAACTTTTTATTCCTTGCCCCCTTGATATCGCTGTCTCTTCTGCCAGTCGGCATCACCCCTCCTCCTCCAACCACCTCCTCCCTGTCAACCACAACACCCATATCCACCCCCACCACCATGCCATTCTCCTCCCGTTTCACCACAGCCCCTGAAAAATCCACCTCCATACCCTCTCCCTCTTCTCCTCCCCCCTTCACGCCTTCCCGCTCCTCCTCCTCCTCCTCATCCTCCTCTTCCCCCAGCAGCCCCCCCACAACCTTATTCACCCCTCCCAAGCACCCCACAAGCGCCAACCCAACCTGAGCAAACTGCCTATCCCCCACCAACCGCCCAAACTGCTCCCACCCTTTCACCACCACACCCTCCTTCATAAACCTCGCCCTTTTCACCACTTTGTCCACCCCCTCCTCCCACTTCTGTGCCCTTTGTCCCCTCATCTTCCCTTTTTTGCTACTTGTTGAGCCTGACGGCGCATGATCCAGACACTCCTCAATTTCAAAAGTTAATTTTGCAACATTCCGCCGGAGCATGTCAAACGCCGCCCACCACCGCGACGACGAGTGCTGGTTCTTGTTGCGGTGGTGGAGGGACTGCAGGATTTGGCTGAGGGGGTGCAGCGTCGTCAAGGAGGACTCCAGCAGCGGGGGGGAGATGGCTTTTGTGGGTGGCGGTGGTTCCGTAGTCATGATTCCAAGTGTGAGAGAGGTTGGCTGAGGGTGAGGAGGTTGTTGAGGAAAAACTAGTCGAGATCACAGAGACTAAAAAATCAACGAATTGAACTGATCGTGTCTGTAAAATTTGGCAGAAAACAGGCTGTGAGAGCGGAGGTTGAGAAATGCCCAAGTCGAGTGTTTGATGAAAGAAAGTCAGCCTTGATGGTACATGAAAACTGGAGTCCAAGATCTCGGAGATAACAAGGGTTAGGGTTCACACCACCACCACCGGAGATAAGCCCCCTAGCACATGCTGAACAACCGGTCTTCATGAATAAGGTACCCCAAAACCAATACACCTATGAATACTCTGGAAATACCAAGCTGAATACCCATTCGCCATTCAACCCTAATCATAACGCCCATCCATGAAAACCCATCAATATATACACACTGGCCCTGCTCCCCCATCAACAAACCTTGACCCCACAAACCTCCACCCCCTTCGTCACCACCGCCGCCCTATTCCCCTCAAAATACCTCCCCACCACCTCCTTCACAAACTCGGCATCCGACTGGCTCCACACATCCAACCCCATCTGCGCAAGCGCATCGCTATCCACCCTCACCCAGCCCCCTCCCCGCCCTTCATATCCATCCTGATCATCATCCTCCGCCAACAACCTCGCCCGATCATCCTCTTCCCCCTCACCATTACTACTACTACCGCCGGGCAGCTCACCATAGTCCAAATCCAGACTCATCAAGTCATCATCGTCGCTCGAGTCAACAATATCCGCCAACACCCTCAATATAGTCGTTGTCAATCGGTGGAAATAGGCAATAATCGCCAGTTCAATCCCTGCTTTTTCGTCGTCTTCTTCGGTGTCTTCTCCTGGTTTTCTGGCGGTTAAAGATGAGAGACTGTCAACCATTGCTCCAGCGGTAGTTCCAAAGCTCGTTCTCCTCTGCGGAACGGCAGTCATGGAAGGCGACATTGGCGAGCCCAAGTCGGCCAAGAGACTGGAGTCGTGATTCTGTTCGTCGACTTCATCTGAATGTCTCTTTTCGCCGGCGGAGGCCCACCACATGAAGCCATTGTATGCTAGAGCAGCCCAGGTGGTTGGTTCGATGATCTGATCTGCGTCTTCCTCGAATATTGTCATTGCTGGGCGAGGGCCATTGGCTGCTGCGGTGCCTGGTCCTGACGATGCTGCCACAGGCTTCGACAGGCGGATGGCTGGGGTAGACGGGGTAGGTGCTTCGCTGGCTTCAGAGTGAGGACTTCGCACGTCGGGTTGGGCCTGAGAATGAGAGCGAGAGGCTTCTGCTGCTGCGGCGAGATGCGCAAGACCTGCTCTGAGAGAGCGGAAGCGGCGAAGATCACGCTGGGTGGCCTTCACCGGGATGCCCTTGGGACACTCGACTGTTGGCCACACTTTTTCTTTGGCATTGCTGGAATATACCGGGGGCATGGTAATCAACATGTCCCAGAGGTCACCCTTCATGGCGAGGATGCTGTCTGTGGTACAGGCTACCCAGCCCGAGATAGAGTCCTCCGAGGGGTCCGAATGCTGGTCGTCTTGATTAGGGCGCTTTTTCATGGCGGCCTGATGTTCCATAAGATAAGATATGTCATGTACACCAATGGTGAAGAGAGGTCGTAAACGCTGGACAGGTGCCGAGGGGTCTATCACGTCGCAGACAGACAGGGGGATATTCGACAAGACGGAAATATCATACACTGAGCCTTGTCAGTAGCTGTTAACCCCCCAGTAGTTTGTGGTTGACATACCAAAATTGCAAACTTCATGCACCGGTGCATGGCAAGAAATCAAAATGCGCTTGCGCAACAGGGCTGCGCGATGAATGGGAAATATCAACGGGCCAAACGTGTCCAGCAGCGAGGTCAAACTCCACGCCGGATGATAAGGCGACAGCCTGTGGCCCGGGGGTATCAAGGCGGTGCCATCCGAGGCAGACCTGTTCCTAGTATGGCCTCTGCCTAGCGGGGGGTGGGCGGCCCTGAAGCTAAACGCGGGGGAGGCCAGAGCTTCGTCCTTTAATGGCTGCGGCGCCGACGTCTCGCGCGCGCCGTTCCTCTCCCAATACTGGTCCAGTATCTGTGTCTGCTTGCGATCCTGCACCAGCTTGCTCGCCATCTCCTTTAGGCTCTCGGCATGACGCCATGCCCTCCCCAGACGACCGTAGCTGAGGGGCACCAAAACACCCACAGCAATCATGCGCGCATGACGTGTCTCCTCCTCATCGGTGGGGGTGTTGATAAACGCGCTGAGCCCGGCGTGGCTGGCATCATGAACAAAATAGATGAGGTCGTCGGGTACGGTGTGCAGGCCAGAGGGCAAGCTCTTGTACTCGACGGCGCCCTCGAGCTCGAGACCCGGCACGGCACGCTTCCAGACGATGGTGTAGCCGGCCTTGACGTCGAAATCGATCAAGAAAAGGGCCGAGATGGGAGGGAGATCGGGTAGGGCGGCCGAAGCACCGGGCTGCGGCAGCCGGACGGAAAGGTTCGGCTGTCCGCGACGGGAGGCGGCCATGGTGACTTTTTGGGTGTCTCGATGATGATAACAGCTGGGATTGGACCTCGATCGACCGAGACAAATATGCGGTTGGGGGGACTTCGAGGGGTTATCGCTGGGCCGGAATCATCATTGGCGCCCGCGGGCGGCCGGGACTATCAATCGCGAGGCTCAAACCTATGCTGCTGTGTAGCTGCTGAATTGCGCGGGAAGCTACTGTTACTGCGGCCATCCAGGATGTTTTGGTGGGCTCTGTTGGTGTTCAGTGGACGTCGAATCAAGCAGCTGGATGAACCACGTCTAATGTTACTAGGCTCCCTTGCTCCCTTGGCCTAGGTTATAGTGGGGCTTCTAGAACGGACTGGGGGGGGGGCGGGCGCTACGACCACATCTTGTTTCCATTCATTCTGAATTTCTTTCCAGCTTCCCGAGACTTAATCAATGTACATTGTGTTTCCTTTTTAGTGGAAGAACGACAGAGACAACGTATAAATCAGTCTGTCCCAAGTGCGAACATATTTATACTGCTCTTCACACCAAGTTTAACAGTACCCCCAAACTTATGGATGTTTTCAAAGCTAGGTGTGTGACAACTTGAGCCTCGGAGCCTCGTCCATGACAATGGATTTGGGGGCCTCGATATATCACCCAGGGAGGATCGTTCATCACCATGACTGAGGCTGAGCGATCAGTCAGAAAAGCCGTGCAGGAATCTACTTCGTGAGGGATGCATGCTTGAGAAGACCACATTGGACTGCGATATTTATGTTGGTGTGGCTTCTGACAGCCAGGCCATCGTATTGACCTTGACCAACCGGTGAGGTGGAATCACAACACCCATCTGGAAAGCCACCACAGGTTTGCACAGTTAGCGCTGAGAGGCTGAAACCAGCCGAAATCCCTCGAGAGCCTTGTCTTGATGTTTCCCACCCCCCCCCAAGATGCC